CCCGCGAATAATTGCGCCACGGAATCCACGGTTCCAAGCGTTCCAACCCTCCTCCGATCGATCGATCGAAAATCGATCCCGAGGAAATTTCGGGGGCACGAGTCAAGTTGGAAGGCCGAGTCTGGCCGAGCGTTTTACGGGCGGAGGATTAAATACACGGCAATCAGGTTTACTCGTCGATGATTAATATTCGACAGACGTCCGAGAAATTTGCGATTCATCGTTTTATTATCCATCTTACGCGGCGGTTTTCTCGTTTTGAAGGAATTTTTGAAGGGAATTTTCGAAGGCTCGTGTTAATCAGGGCTTGATGAATATGTATATACATGTGTTACATATTTCATGGTAATGGTATTCTCGTTTTGGTATTCTAGAAGCTTCAAGAGATCCAAAAGGAAACGAATATTGAAGTAATAATTATAATCACACGATTGTACATACAGTGCATAGATAGATGCTCTTTTAAATTAATGTGTAAACGAGGAAAGATCGTCCCCAATGTAGAAAATTCATGATTTTTCGAGTAATAATAATTATGTGACGTGAAAAGGAAAAAGAAGAGGGGGAAATTGTTTCAGAAATTATTAATTGAAATATCTAATCCCATCTGCTCCCTCCCCTCAAAGATATATAACTCTCATTATCATTTTTCTAAAACTTTTTTACAAACCTTTATTAATGCCGTGGAGATTAAAACCCTTGAAAGCTTAAAGTAAAAAACTACCTAAACGAGTTCACGGCGAAAAGGGGAAAAGTCGTCGAGTCGAAAGGTGAAAAGTATTATAAAATTACCCGCCACGAGTCAAAAGGTCAGAGAAACAAAAGATGAATGTATTATTCTAAAAAAAAAAAAAAAAAAAAAAAAAATTCAAAACGCATTGCATATAACTTCAAAAGTCAAAGATCATCTTAGAAAAAAAAAAAAAAAGCTCAACTATGTATATATAACTTGAAGCAACGATGGGTAAAATTTAATAATTGAAGTTACTTCGATAATTGTTCAAATAACTGTAACCAAATTTATATGAAAAATTATATCAACTATACAATAATTACTAATAAATGTTGTTCGAGAATTTCAATAAACATTCATTCAAACTAACCTTATTGGAAATTTTTAACCAACTCTGAAGCGACAACTCCGCTCAAGTTCCATCTCGTTCAACTCTCCTCTATTCACGAGAAAATAACGCGTATATTTTCAAACCGACAATTCTTTTCTTCTGGCAATAATGTAACAAACAGTCTGTCAAATCACGAGGCTGTTTAGCATACAATCAACAATCAACAATGTACAGGTAACAAGGTGAATTTTCACGCGCGTTAACCGCACCATTCCGGCTCGTTCCGTTACTCACGCGAACAGCTCGCGAACGGCACGCACGTCGACCAACGTTAATCGTATGCACATGAACCGAGAGCGTGTTTCAATTAAATTGCACGTTTCATTGGCGACGCTCTCTCTCTCTCTTTCTCTCTCTTGCGAACGTCGGTGTAACGCAAATGTCGTACGCAGCTGCGACACGCGCTGCTTATAACTAACGTTACACGAGGTACCGTAAGATCTTTCCACAGCTTGACGATCTCGAGACGCGTGGAAAATTGGATTGGCGAGAAAATCTTCGATTCGCTTTGAAATCTAATTTATACCGAAAAAGATAGGTTTAAGGTTCAAGATCGAAAGTGATCCCTAAGATAACTTTTTTTTTTTTTCGTTTCGAAGAATGACATCATTCGGTCGAGAAAATTCAGTTTAAAAAAAGATCTAATTTGTCTTGGTTATCTATACATCTCGCTATCGGTTGATGGTGAAATCAATGGAAAGAATTTAAGTTCGATATCTATTGATATATCTAGGATAAATTTTTTTGAAGATGCAGCGAAAAAGATTAAAGAATGGTTTAGAAATCGTAGCGATCTTCTAGGACAAGTTTCTTCCAAAAATCTGTTTATGATATAATAAATAAATTGAAGAGCGAAATAGCGAAAAGATAAGAAATGTTTATTTTCGGAAAACTGGAATACTCGAAATGTAATACTCCATTCTGTAATTGGACAAAGTATCGGCACTCTCGATTTTCATCGCATCTTGGTCCACCGACAAAACCGCTAAATCAGAGGCCGAATCCACTCGATGTCGGTCGATCGATCAAACGGAGCAGAGAAGCGTGGTTGAGCAACGAAACTTCACTCATCAACAGAGGCAAACTTGGAGCCAAAGCACGGCAAGTAAACGGCCCACTTTCGCCACGATGGGGATGCTCTCTGTTCCCTAATTAACAGGCGAGCCTAATTATAGAATTACAGACAACCGATTCGACGTCGGTTGCCAATAGGCGGAAATTGGGAATCAAGCAGATTCATCGAACGCCTTGAGAAGCGTGGACAAAGGCGTTCGAGGGTGACGGTGTAGCAGCCTTGACCCAAAACGACCCTGACGTTTCTCCCTCCCAGCCGGCTTAATGGTTATTTCGTTCGGGAACTTTGTCGCCGAAAACAGGCAGAATCCCTTGTCTTCGATCAAACGAGAAATCCCGGTAAATTGTTATACCGCTTCCGTCTCTGTTATACAATTTCGTTTCACGACTATGGAACTTGGCCGCCTTTCGAGACTCGATACCCGACAAAATGTACTGTTTATTACACTGAAACAGATTCCATATTATTGGCCGAGCGTGAAACACGTAATTTAAGATTTTTATCGCGAAAAAATGATGTAACAGTCACTTGTTTTTAGATCTATAATACGAAAAATATCTAACGTTATTCGACGATGTTAAAATGATATAATAATTGTCATTCGTTTGCAACGATTATCTCGCTTAATTTTATGAATCCTCGAATAAAAATTGTGAAATTTATTATTGTTTCCTTCGTCAAACGAGCGAACTGTTACGTCACGAAAATAGAAAAAAGAAAGACATCCTCAACTTCAAACGCAATCCCCAAGGATCGTAGCTCGGTGGTCTTATGCCCCTTCAAGAATCACATCTCTCCCCTCCCTCCATCTTTAAGATTTAAATCTTCGTTCGCAAAGCGAAACGTTGTGTACAGGATGTGCAACATTTTCGCCGGGCTGGGGCAAATGTCAAAGTTCAGTATACACACACACGCGCGCATACATGTTCTCCGCTGATCAATATTGCTCGATGTGTTGGTTCGGGTGGCAGTGGCGCGCTTTGAGACGCAATTGTCCTCCACGCTGTGCCGACAAGCGGAATGGACGTCGTTTGACCTTCGACGAGGTATCTTCCGCGGGAAGATTTTCTCAGCCGCAACGATTCCCCGCCACGCCCAGCCACGCGTAGGCTGGAACCCGGCCGTCGAAAGGGTAAAGGGCGCAGTGCACCCTGGAATCCCACCAGGAAATCAATTACCAGGCTTTAAATCCCACGGAAGGCGACCGGCTTTCTATCGATCCTCGCCTCCCACGGAAATATCCGCCACCGTTTTGCATCTGTTTATGAAAATCTCGTTACGGTTCCATTATCGAGTATCGAGCTAGCGGCTTTTCCATCACGCTTCACGGTGAAACGGGGTTTAAACGTGACTCGCGAAACGCGGTGGATTTCAATAACGGGGGCTGACTCTTGCCTCGAGAGAAAATTTAGCGATTGTTTCGATAGTTTGGTCTGGTGGAATGAACATTAAGCGGTTTTTAAAGAGAGATTATAAAGTTCTTTTGAGAGGATTTTAACGTGTGATGTACGATTCAAGTTATTGAATTCGATTAATTGAATATGCGGACGTACGAAGTCGTAAAACGTTATATAGATTTTCAAACTGCCTCTCTTCGTCATTAAAATTTCCATGAAATTGCCTTGCGTAATGATTCTTCCATAAAAAAATATTACCATTGTTCATCGTCACGACATCGTGCACACCATCGACGCACGACCAAGTCGCCGTTTCCGCGAAGCGGATCCACGTCTGATACACGTGACCCGTTCGTGAATCGTTATCCAACCCATCCAGTTATCCGCAAAGCCTGTAGACCGCGAAAGGGTCAACGCATTCCGATCCCGCGGAAACGTTTGTATCGTTACAAAGAAAACGCGCGCGCGAGCGAGCGAACGACGAATGAACGAAGGAACGAACGAGCGAGCGAGCGAGCGGCCCCGATCTTGGCCGCCCGGCAAGGACGAGGTCGCGAGCGCGGCCTAATCGTCGATGTTACTCTCCGTACTCTCTCCGCGTTCCGGAGCTCCGAAGCAAAAAGGGTTTGTGTGTGCAGCTGCAGAGTGCAGGCGCACCCCCGGGCCACGCGTTATATAGATAATACACGGACGCGCGAGGCGTCGCACGGATGGCGAGGAGGAAGAAGACGAGAGGAGACGGACACGGAAGAGAGAGAGAGAGAGAGAGAGAGGGACGAGCGTGGAAAATGCATACACGCGGAGAGGGCGGATAGAGGGACCGAGAGAGGAAAATGGAAAAGAGTGGGTGGTTACCGGTGGCGGGTCGCGAAACGGGCCGCGGGGAGGGGCGAGGAGGGTGGCGAGGATTCGCTTCCGTGTCCTAGTAGCACTAATGACCGCCATCCTCCCCTCCTTCCGTTCACCGTCCTCCCCACCAGCGCGCCCTTGCACTCGCTCCCCACCACCGGACCGCTCGCCCCCACTCCAGCCGCCGTCCTCTCTCCTCCGTCTCCCCACCACCCGCGGCACACAGGTTCGCGATGACTCGGGTTACGTCATAGCGCCTAGAGCGTGCCACTTCCCCCCACCGCTCGCCCCCCGTCTCCCACCGCGCGCGCCGCTCTAGTAGCAGTCCGCCCTCCCCGCCGATCGTGCCGATCCCCCCTTCCCACCACCCTGCCCTCACGTATACTCCCCGATCGCCACGATTCTCCGCGACACCCCTCCAACCCGAATCCTTGTTGAGTATCCAGCAGCGCGGAGCGTATACACACGCTACGTGAGTGAGCTATATATCTTTTCCACTATAGCGGCCACCACTCGGCGAGATCGTGGGGGACCCGGCAGTCTCCGCTGGTACACCGAGCTGTGTGTTACCGTTCCTCGCTTGTTGTATCACGTTCTCCGCCGTAATCACCGTCGACGCGCGTCCCATCTGACAGACCTGTAGTCGCGGCACCACGTCGTCGTTCCACACACACACATACACATACACACATATACACACACGCGCGCGCAACCCTATAAATATATATATATATATATATATATATACATGTAAACTCATATATATGTATATATACTAGAAGCAAAGAGAGAGAGAGAGAGAGAGAGAGAGAAAGAGGGGGAGAGATATACACACTGGTGACCCAGCAGCGTACACGCCATCCTCTGTAATACGCACACCGTAACGTGTACGAGGTCCGTGCACACACCATCCACCGGCACACGCGTCCTCTCGCGCACACGGACCACCGGTGAACAGAGGATCCTCCTTCGATATACCACAAAGGAGAGGAGATAGAAGGGAAGGAAGTAAGGACGCGGATGTTTCGACCAGTGCTACGACGGAGACGCGAGGAAGGAATTAACTCGAACGCGCGATCAACGGTTTCCAAATAAGTGAAAATATCATCACGGGGAAGATAGATAGACTTTTGGTGCGAAGCAGGTGCGAACGGTCCTCGTCTGTTTCGTCTCTTCTTCGTTCATCGGCTTCTGACATCGAGGAATAGCACGTGCAGGTGTGTATCCGAACGCGGGCACGTGTACGGTGCACGCTCGTCACGCTACGTATATATGCATACGTATTTCTATGCGTGTATGTGTGAATGTGTGCGTGTATGTATATATATATACGCGTGTGTGCGTGTGTGTTGCGTGTTTGGCTTGATTTAGGTGAGATCGAAGGAGGGGAACCGAGGTAAAATTTTAACGAGACGGACAGGTGATAGGCGAGTTTTCTGTCGATCCAGTCGCGAGTGTTAATGTTATTGTTGTTGTTGTTGTTACTATTCTCAGTGCGTTTTTAATCGATGGTAAACACTGAGCCGTGAGTGTTTCTCTTTAAAGACGCGAGTTACGAGTCGAAAGGTCGCGTAAACCATTGGGGACGAACTAACAGTGAAACCGGAAACGGCCATCCGAGACCGCCGCGGTATTGTTCGAAGAATACACAGTGAAACGGTAATTAGAGTGGATAAACGAGGAATATTTCGAGGAAATTCCTTCCGATTATGCGTGGCACACTTGGTAATCCTCTCTTTATATCTTGGATGTATCTTTATGCAAATCGAAACGAAGATCTACGTATCTTGATGGAATTTCGTGAGATTCAAATTATCCAATTAATCGATCCCTTCTTTTGATTCTATTTATTATTCGAGTATTGCAGTTTCACATTCACGTTTCTTCCCAGAATGCAAAACCACTCGATATCTCGCGATATTTTGCGAAATTCCGCAATTTGCATAGAGTAATTCTTCGAATTTAAAAACTCGTTTGAGAAGGATGTAGGATAGGCATTGCGAATCAAAGTATTCACACGTGTGCCGCAGAAAAATTAGCGTATTCTTTTATTTCCAATTCGTACGAATTGAAAATTCGAGTCGATCTCTCTTCTCGAGCGACATACTTTTCATTTTCTTCTTGTGCACGACCTACATGCACTCGTCACGAAAATCTTGTACAAGAGTCTTAATGGTCTGTCGAAAAGGATTATTTACCGACGAATCAACTTCGAAGGTGAGCAAAAGGCGAGGGAAACTTTCCATCCCACGTCTCACCCTTTCGCATTAAGCAGCTCGTAAATATTGACTTACGGTCGAGTAGGCGTAAAGATCGGTTCGTCATTTGTGCTCCAGAGTGGCTCCGTTGACAGCTATAATTTGTATCGTGCGCAGTTTACATTGTTCGCGACCAAACCCGCTCCTCGCTGCCTGCATAACAGCGCGGCTTTAAATCAATGTACCACCACGTAACGTTATTGATAAAAGGGGTACGTACATATGTATCACGTTGCACGACGTTTGCGTGTCCGCACACGGATGCACGCGCTCTGTACTTTTCCTCTTTTTCTTTTCCTTTTTTCTTCTTTCCATTCTTTCATCCACCTCGTACACCTCTACTTTCCAATCGTGAAACACGAAACGATCCGAATTTCCTCTGTTTTTCGGGGGAATAGTTCGAATTTATTTCGTTCGTCGAAAGAACCAAAGGATATAAATATTTTTTTTTTTTAAATTGCATGTGTTCCTTCGTAAGATCTTTTTAACGAGAGTGATGGTCGCATATATACTTCGCATATACGTCTTCCAAGATTTCGAATCTATTTCGTTAGTCGAAAGAAATAAAAACGATAAGAAGACAAATATTTTTAAATCACAGGGATATACTCTTCGATTAAGGATAAAGATTTTTTTCTCAAAATATATTTCAAAGAGTGGACAGAATTCTATCTACTCTTAATATCCAATTTTTTTAATTACCTTAATTTATTTGGACGAATTATCGAAATCATTCGATCACGAGATTCGAGATATGAACGCGTATTTCGACGATATAGGTTCGTCTCACCACCTCGAATACGATTCATCGTTCGACGTGTCTCTCAAAATCGGACACCATTCCATCTCTAATTTCAAAGAATTAACCGTATTCGTAGAATTTGGCATGGCGATACGATTCAGTTTACGACAGGTGTTGTAACTGGCCCAGATTCCGGTTCGTTTACCAATAGAACCGCTTAAATATATCGATTGATTGCGCAAGGAAGGGGGATCCTTGCGAATCGCGGATTTCTCGCGATCGGCAGAATCGATAGACGGATCGCAAACGAAGCCGAGAAGGAAAGTCGATCTTCGTTTTCTATCTATCTTTCGATAAGATCCAATCTGCCATCGTGGATCCGTAAAGGAAGAGCGGCCAATTAAGTTCGCAAAATGTCTGACGCGCATTTCGATTCATCATCCATGGGCCAATTTCTATACGCTCGAATCAGAATCGATTCGTGTCCACGACGCTTCTGCCCGTGTCTATTATTCATTTGACGAGATTTATGGGTGAATCGGTTTCGCCAAGCCTGCATTTCGCGTGCGGTATTCGCGGTTGATTTTTTCTTTTTTTCTTTTTTTTTTTTTTTTTTTTTTTTATTTTGGAATTGCAAACCTTTTAACGCGAAGCGTGTAAATCAAATGGATGCGTGAAAGTTGATGAGTTTCGAGGTGTATTGGATATATAGGATTGTTTTAATTGTGCATTGAGATTCAGGTCTCTCAGGTGTTAAACGCGTCTTTTGAAATATTTTATGATCAATATTAATGATCGCGTGAAAGCATTGATTGTCATATAGATATAGAGTCTTTTTTTTTTTTTTTTGGTTTTGATAGCGAATCGAATGGACGCGATAAAAATTGATAACAGTTAGTTTACAATATACAGTATATACGGTGTAGATTGTTTATCGAAGTTGAAGTTTTTGGATATAAGATTACTGATAGATATTAAATATTTGTGACTGTGTTTTAAATTTTTGATAGAGTGTTTTTTTAATTTTAGTGATAAGTAGATTGGGTAAGGTAAAAAAAGATTTTATTACGATATTAGCAAATAGAGAGTTCTTGATCTTTATGAAAAATGAACATCTAATTATTAATGTCTTTTTGATTTTCTTGTATTTCTTCATTCAAAAGAATAGTAAATATTTTTTTTTTCTCTTTCTTTTTTTTTTTTTGTTCTTTTCCATCGATGTGTAACTTATAGAGTCGGGTAAATGGCGTATGAATATTCCGTGAAAATGCAGAATTCTTCTTAAGCATTAGTAAGCATTAGTAACCATGGCAACCATTCAACTTTCATAATTTTCTGTTTATTACTCGTTGAGTTATTACGTTATCATGGCAAGGATACGGTGCGTTATTTAACACATCCACGTGCAGCATTTAAATAGAGAATTTAAATGCTTGCCTCGTTTTCGGAGCTCGGCCATTTCAAGAAGTCTGATCACGAGACGCGAGTTGCAAAGGATAATTTGAAATGTGATTAAATTTAAGCGAAAATATATGCTTGTTTTTAATGCATTTTACATGATATATATATACGCATGTATGTGTGTAATGATTAGGATGATAATGATGATCGTAATTCTAGTAACAACTTAATTAAGAATTAAATTGTATATTATAGATTTTACGATGTTGTTAAATTCGTGTTGCAGAACCTGTTTAAACATCAATTTTAAATTCATTCAATGTAAATGATAATTAAAAAAAAAAAAAAAAGAAGAAGAAGAAGAAAAAATTTACTATCAACGAAAATGAATATATTAATAAAAAATCACTTACACACATGTTAAAACTGATAAACATTTGATACTTGACGCGTTGAAATAATTAAGTGAAAGCATAAACTTGATAAAAAAAATATCAAATTTTTAATATTCGAAATTCGCTATCGCGTTTCCATGATAATAAATTAAATCGAGAGATTAAGGAATTCTCGCTGAAATACGAATTCGTTATCTTCTAATTAAACGCTACGTGATTAATATAGCATTATATTAACCTCATTATACCTAAAAATACATTAAAAAAAAAAAAAAAACTGAAATCAAAATATCTGTCACGATTCAAACTCAATTCGTTTCCCGTCTCTCTTCCCCCTTCTCAATTTTTATTCCATCCGCGTAACATTTTTTTTAGCCACAAAAATACACGAATCCTCCATCCGAAAATCGGGGAAGAAAGATCAAAAAAAAAAAAAAAAAAAAAAATCTCGAATCATCCAATCCAATGCAGCGAAATAAAATTAATTATAATAATATAATAAGCACTCGCGATTAATTACAAGAAGCGAATAAGAACGGAAGAAAGTTCGGTTGGACAAAAGGCAGGCGTCGCGACGTCGTCGTTAATCGTCTTCGGGATTTAATTACGCGATTCAACCATTGGATTTTTGCGCGGAAACGCGCGCTGCCCGAAAGCTCGTTGTCTATCGCGCGCGATTTCAATTCGTGCCCTTTTCCGTATTTTTTTTTCTTTTTTTTCGTTTTTCCTTTCCATTTCCTTTCTCCTTCCTCTCTCCCTCCCTTTCTCTCTCTTTTTCACTGTCGCCACGGCTCGAGCTTTTGTGCGCTCGCTGCTGCCGGATTTTTGCATACCAAAGGCCACGGAATGTCGGCGCGCGGCTTGAACGCTTGAACCCGCCTCGACCAATTACGTCTCCTGAATTACATATCGCGACGCATCCCGTTTACAGAAATCCCGTTTTTTTTTTGATCTCGGCGAAGGTGTCTCGTGATTTTGAATCCGAAGTACACGTACGTAGGTGTAGGTTCAGCGTTTTAGACGGTTTAGAAAAGCTTTGGATGTCGTTTATCGCGACACCAGACGAATTGTCGGTGGAGAAGGGATTTTGTGAAGCAAAGATGTGGAAAATTTGAACGAAAGCGAAGATTTCTTTGCTTTTTTTTTTTGGAAGAGGTTTTATTTTTTGGGATTTTTTTAAACGCATCTTTCGTTTTGTTTTCGAATTTGTTTGAAAAATGTTTTTTTATTCGTACGATTGGAAAATTGTATAAGGATATAAATTATTTGGATGAAAATATTTTCTCGTTTTGCAATGGTGAAGGTTTTTTTTTCATCGAATTAATTCATCTGTGAATTTTAAATCATTATGAGAAAAATCGAATGGAATAATTTCTTTGATACATAGAAAATTGATTTAGATGGACGTGACAAATTTTTCC